CCTACAACAGATTTATGCTGTAGCATGCAAGCTAATGTGGAGAACATGACAATGGAGGTGACTGAGAATGGGGCTGGGCAGTGTGTTTGCGATAATTATGAACATGGAAGTCACTAACTGTGGAATACTGAGAAGGGCTCTATGTAGTTGGAAGAAGGGTGAGGGTAAGGTAAGTCAGAAAAAAAAAAGTATCCACAATAAAGCAGCTATATATAATCCCATTATGTCAAACTATATATGTGGAGGTATATATAAAGAAATATATGATATGGTGATTGGTAGTTAGCTCATTGGGGTGACTACGGACGATTTTATCTGTTTCGTTTTTTTAGGTACTTCAAACTTTCATGTGTTTGAAAATTTTACAATAAGCATATGTGATTTATATAACCAAAAATAACAACATTCTGCTTTTGTTGAATGAGTTGTTGAAACAACTTGTTGAATGAATTGTTGTTAGAGAAAGGATTAGAAATTTTTTCCTTTGCTGATCTGATGAGGAGACTTGGTACTTTTTCCATTGACATGTTAATGCTACCAAATACGATATGAAAGTCAAAGAGAGGTGGATTCTGACAGATAGACTTCTATGTTAGGGTCCATATCTTAGCATTCTCTCTAGCATACCATCTTCCTGAAAGCCCCAGGGTATCTTGGACAAAGAGCTTTTTTTTTTGGCTGTCAGAGACGGCTTGGTATTTTTTGCTTGTATCTGGGACAACCTGAAAGTACTACGAAGTTAATACCCTTGGCAGCAGGCTTAAACAATGATGACTGGGGGTTAGTGGGTAAATACTCTGACTTTATTCCCCCTGGATAGGACACAGCTGAGGTTTATACATTCAAGTCCCAGAGGGCCCAGCAGCCCCAGCCTCACCTGCCCATGTCAGTGCGCCTCATATTGACTTTCTTCCTGTCCCACTCTCTTCTACCAGTGCTTCTCGGGATCAACCTCCCTCCAAATTTCTGCCCACAAATTCTTATGACAGGGCCTGCTTCTGAGAGAAACCAACCTGAGACAGAGTCCTACCACTATTTCCAAGACCGTGGACAAAGCAGAACATAGAACAGAGTTCAGGAGCTTCCCCAAAATGGCATCTGATATGAATACTTAGTGCTTGCTGTGGTAAAGCGAAAATGGTGAATGTGGACAGAGAACTGCTTTCCCTTATCTCTCCACCCCAGGACCACATGAGGAACTTGTGATGAAATAAGCTATAGCTCTGACTCATAGCCCTGCCTCACAAATGAGAAGTAGGGCAGTCACCAGGACCACAAGTGCCGAATTCCTTCATGAAATTCTGTCTTTGGGCAACAGTGATCTTACCCGCCCATTTCGCTCACCTGCAAGTCATCTTTCTGTTTCCTCAGCCAAATTTCAAAGGGTTTAAGGGGCTCTCCTATTTTACTACTTCAGTGCTGTGCAGTTCAGTGGCTCATGAGCTGTACAGCTGTCATTGAGGTCATGTAGTAGATTTCATTCTTAATTCAGCCATCCAAATTTGCTGTGTGGACCCTCCAGTTGAGAGCTAAGTGGGCAACTGGGCTCACAGCAAACTGGGATATTGATGGAGTGAATGTAAACTTCTGTATGTCAGTGTCTTGGTCTGCAGAAGAAGAACACATAGGGAGGCTGCTGTCGAAAAGCGAACCTTATGGGTTGCAGACATCCCTCGCAGACTTTCCCTCCACACATCCCTGGCTTGGTTTTCTTGGATCAAGTGCCAGGGCAATGTGACTGGTTCAAGTGAGGATGGGGATAAGAACTTAGAGATCACTGGTTGACTGAAAGTTTCTTAGAAAGAGTCCCTCTCATCACTTAGGGACAGTTCTCTAATGTTTTTCTTTTTTTTCCTAGAAGGAAGCCATTTATCAAAGTGCTTTTAAATCACTTCTATCATACACCTTAGTTTGTGCCTAGAAATGCATTTCTGAGACATGTGTGGTAGATAATTTGAACTCATATGAGTAGCACAGCTAGACATCATTCATACCTCATTGAAAATGTGAAACAAGAAAGAGTTATTTCCAACTCAATTATTTACTAGTTAAGTGACTTTGGAAATGTCACTTTCATCTCTCAAGTTGAATACCTATCTCACAGGGTAATTGAAGATTATAAGAAATAAAAAGCATATTTTAATAAGTCATAACCACATTGTTATTTTTATTAGCTTCATTGCTTATCTCAGTTGGATTCTAGATATTTGTTGCCAGAAAGCATCATTGTAGGAGATCATTGACTTTAGCTCTTTAGCCATATTAAACAAATATGTTGTATATTTGTTCTTTTGTATTATGTATATATACGTTTTCTCAAATTATTTCTATACATTGGAATATGGATCATGAATGAATGAATCCAATGAATGAATGAGTAGGTTGATCTGTGGAGCTATGATTCTAGTACTGCCAATAAACATGAACTAAATGCACTAAGCAAAGTTAGAAGAAAAGTTTTAGCTCATGCTTTAAAAAATGACATCACAATCCTTAGCAAAAGAAACAAAGCAGGAGGTATTACACTTCCAGACTTCAGACTTTACTACAAGGCTACAGTAATCAAAACAACCTGGTATTGGTACAAGAACAGGCACATAGACCAATGGAACAGGATAGAGATTCTGGAAGCAAAGCCTCAACTTCTCAACCAATTCATCTTAGACAAAGCCCCCAACAACAACCACTGGGGAGAAGAGAACCTATTCAGTAAATGGTGCTGGGAAAACTGGCTGATCACAGGACTGAAACAGGACTCCTACCTATCACCATACACAAAAATTCACTCCAAATGGATCAAAGACCTAAACGTAAAACCTCAAACTATAAGAATCTTAGAAAACGCAGGAGACACCCTTATGGAAATTGGAACTGGCAACCAATTCCTATTCAGAAACCTAAACGCTCATTCCTTAAGAAATAAGATAGACAAGTGGGACCTCATCAAACTAACGAGCTTCTGCAAAGCAAAAGAAACCATCAAGAGAGCAGGGAGATAGCTCATAGAATGGGAAAAAATATATGCCAACTATATATCTGACAAAGGCCAGATATAGGATCTACATCTAGGATCTACAAGGAACTCAAATGCTCTGAAAGGAAAAAAGATAAGCAGTCCCATTTAAAAGTGGGCAGAAGACATGAATAGACACTTCTCAAAAGAGGATATATGGGCAGCCAACAGACACATGAAAAAGTGCTCAGCCTCACATCAGAGAAATGCAAATCAAAACCACACTTAGATACCACCTAACCCCAGTAAGAATGCCCACCATTAATAAAACAAACAACAATAGATGGTGGTGAGGATGTGGAGAAAAAGGAATGCTTCTACACTGCTGGTGGGAATGCAAACCAGTGCAACCTCTCTAAGACAGTGTGGTGATTTCTGAAAGAACTAGAAATTGACCTTCCATGTGACCCAGCAATTCTCCTATTGGGAATATACCCAGAGGAACTCAAATCATTCTACAAAAAGGATACCTGCACATGTATGTTTATTGCAGTGGTACATATAAACAATGGAATATTATGCAGCCATAAAGAAGGACAAACATATGGATTTTGCAGCAACTTGGATGGATTTGGAATTGATCATACTCAGGGATCTATCACAGAAACAAACAACAGAGTACCATATATTCTCCCTCATAAACGGATCTTGAACAATTATAATAGTGTAAGAAAGAGATTGGCAGTAGTGGGAAGCTGTCGGGGAGGGGAGGTGGGATTGGCAGTTGAGGGAAACGGGAGTGAGAGACATATCTCATTAACAAGGGTACCTGCATAATCAGCGTGTGTATACTTAACCCTGAATTGTACCTCACATCTTTATAATACTAAAAAATAAATAAAAAATGACACCATATTGAACAGAAAAACATAATTCTGTTGTCTGTTTTCCCAATTCTGCCTTAAAATCATTAGCTCTTTTCAAAAATGGGAGCCTAGGTTTTAAAAAGAGGATTAATGAGTAAAGAACTTCTGTTATTAACATTCTTCAGAAGTGAGTGACCCTAATCAAAGTACAATAGTCTTTTGGTAAACCCTACTTCCTATTGAAAAGAAAGAAAATCAAATCATCGACATGATGGAAGAAGAAATCAGATGCACATTTCTTTGAAGGCTAATTTCCCCCTCTCTTGCTTGTTTCTTTTTGCTGTTTGAACTCTTTGCACCTGCTGTCCTCACAACAGGCAATGAATTTTATAGACCTCGGGGTGAGAGCAATAGTCACTGTTTTGTCACTTGTTCTGAAGGGCTCAGTCAGTCAGTTGTTTGGGGAGAATGAGAGGAACATATTCTGGATTGAGGCTCCCATAAGTGGACCTGGTTACAAAGATCTGGTTTTTACTTAATCTTCTCCATCAGATTGAGGGGATGCCTTAGGATGCAATTAGAAGCCAATCTCTTTTTCTTGAAGGTAGAGAACATAGAGGTCTGCTACTACCAGTGACCTAACAAAGTGGTTTTTCATAAGGTCACCAATGAGGTTTTCATTTAAAATCTGGGACTTTACTGCAAACACTCAGATTCTTAAATTCATTAGCCATTTTCAAAGAGGCATGTAGTAAACAGGAAGTGCCCTAATGAAATTTGGCACACAGTATCCATCTCAGGACCCAGACCGATGAGAGCTGAGTAATTTCTCTAGACTTTCTAGAGAAGGTTGTAGTAGAGATGAACCAAATAGGGACAAAAGAATGAAATTATTCAAAGAAATATCCCTGAGGGAAAGTGAAGACAAGCCAAAAAATCAGTGGGGATTAGTGTGTGTGTGTGTGTGTGTGTGTGTGTGTGTGTGTTTGGAACGAATCTATGAGTGCCACACAGGCATGTTTAATTCCAAACATTTGAACCCAGTATGCATTTCCAACAATGGTGGGAAATTTGGATAGGCTGAATAGAAAAAAAAGTTTAAAATTGAATCTGTCTAATTGAAATAGTACATATCAAATTCTAAAATGAAAACTGACCATTATCTTGTTGTGAACTTGCAGCTCCTGGCTAAGTACAAAAGCTTGCAATGGGACACAGTACTGCAGCTGGAGGAGGTGCAGGCCAAACTGGGGGTTAGTCTGGAAGAAATGCTGTTGGTCACAGAGGATGGCCTTCATCCTGAGCCTTATACCCCTGAGGAGATCTGCAGGAATCTGGGAATTAGTCTGGAGGAACTCCGAACCCAAATCCTGAGTCCAAACACTCAAGATGGTAAGTCTGCTGGAGAAAGTAAGGATATAGGTTATTCCCCCTACTTACAACCAGAAGTTTCCAACTTTCTCACAGATCCCACTGATTTTAAAACATACCTGAGGGAATTTGGAGACTGGGAGAAATTGGAGAGGTATTTGCCTTGGCAAACTTAGCTATCTAGATTCTTATCTTCATAAATGTATTCATTCATTAATTCATTGGTATTTTGGCTAGGCAAAAATGAATAAAACATGATCCTTGTCTTCAAGAGATTTATAATTCAATGGGCCACTCTTTTTTAAATCTTATTTTTGTTCCCTGTTCATTTTCTTGGTTATGATACTACTTATATAGAAAGGTCTAGGTTGGAGCAGTGCTCATAACTGCTATGAAACAATACCCTGGAACACTAGAAAGTCTTCACTGCTTAGGTTGACACTTGTGGCTCACTTTAGTGTGGAGGCTTATTTCTATTGACCTCCTGCTTTCAAGTAATTTTGCTTTTTTTACTAATAACATCAGAAACTGAGATGAAGCCCAAGTAAATGTTGAAGGCACAGAATGGAGCCTTGGAGTAGCTGTTCCTCATTAGAGTAAATGCTGTCTATTTGTGGGAAATGAGTACTAAGAGCAAGGACATCTAGCTAAGTTCCAGTTGCCCCTTGGACAGGGTATGGAGGATAGGAACTTGACACAAAGATCAGCCTCAAGGACTCATTTTCATCTCAGTTCAGTCTTATAGCTGGTTGTTGAGTACCTACTATGGATTTGCCTGCAAAGTAATGTCTTAAAGGCTTCAGCTACTGACAACATTAGGATAAGATAAGGGAATCATTTGAGGGCAGGGATTGGGTTTTGCTTTCTAACATTGTCAGATCCAATTTAATTTGATGAACATTGATTGAGTTTTTAGGTCCAGGATAAGCAAACTATGGCTTACTGGCCAAATCAGGCCTGCCACTTGTTTCTGTAAAATAAACTTTTACTAGAACACAGTCACGTATTGGCTATGGCTGCCTTTGCACTACAACAAGACTTGAATAGTTGTGACAGAGACCAAATAGCCCACAAACCTAAAATATTTACTTTCTGGCCCTCTGCAGAGAGAGTACTGTCTTTCACTCCAGAAAGGTAATAGACCAAAGTTTCCCTCAATTTTACCATGAAAATAGGCCTAATGGCTTTACTAAAGGTAGCAACCACCCAAAAGCTAAATAATAGATAGGTATTTTCTAGGTAGAAAAGTAGTTGGAAATAATTCCAGGCAGGCAGAACAACAGGTAAGAGGTGAAATGGAGTGAGAGAATTATATACCCAAAGAACTACAGATAATTGAGTGTCTCTTGAAAATAGTGTACATAGTAGAGAGTGATATGGTATCAAGCTGAGGTCTGACAGGCCCAGATCACCAAAGACCTTGTTAATACTGTGTGTGTGTGTGTGTGTGTGTGTGTGTGTGTGTGTGTGTGTGTGTGTGTGTGTATTATAGGTAATGGGGGAATTAATAAATATTTATTGATTGAAGAAGTTGGGCAGGGCATTGAATAGGGAGAGCTTCCAGGGGAATAGCCTTTCTCCTTTGACCTAAGACATGGTTTGATTTCTTTAATTCAGCAAATAAGTATGACTTTTCTGAACTTGGGATTGTGCCAGATACTGGGATACAAAGATAAATAGGACATGGTCTCTACTTTAAAGTGGCTTAGTGTTTAATGGGGTGAGGGCCATACAGCAATCACAGTAAATACTACCTGCTGAATAAAGGTATTTATCAAGAGCCCTGAGAGTATGGAGAATGGCTAAGATCCTAAAGAAGGTGGCTTGATTTGCGCTAGACCATGACAAAAAGTCATGGACTTCCCAAACTGACAGTGGTAACCACCATTTCAGGCAGAGAGCAGAGCCTGAGTGAAGACAGAGACACAAGGAGTAGAGTAATGGAGAATATGTGCCAAGAGGTATTGTGTGCAGTATGAGTTGGACAACAAAAAGTCTAAAGGACGCCAGGAAGAGATTTGTGCTCTACTTTATACTGAGTAACAAGAGCCCAAAGTAGAGGATTGTTGGTGAATAGCTCTGCTGCTAGATTCTCAGGGCTGTAAAGGACAATTCAGTTAGGATTGGCAATTGCCTGTATCTAGGAAGGAAGGCAAAAAAGAGGGAAGAGAGGGAGGAAAGGAAGTAGGAAGGACAAAAGAAAAGATATAGAAGTTAAATAAGTCCAAGGTATAGATAACTGGGAAGTCAGGTAATTAAAGTATGGGAAGTGACTTGAGGAGCAAGATGATGAGGTCACTAATATCTATCAATCTGTCTACCATTCATCCATCTATCCATCCACCCATCCATCCATCCATCCATCTATCCATCCATCTATCATTGTATTTGTCTTATGTGATGACAAGGTATCTAAACAAAGTTGCAGAACAGGTAACTATCCAAATGATATAGCAATTTGATTTAGGAGCCATTGGTGAAACAATGAGGAGGTCTTAGTAGAGGTTGAAAATATTCACTGTCAAATGATCATAAAAGTCTTTTCATGATGACAGTTCAGAAGCCTTCAGAGTCTCACCATCACCTAATGCCCAAACTTATTAACATGTTAAGTTTGTTGTCAGTTCAGTCTTAACTCTGTTCTGTTTTATCTCTCTTTGATGCTCATACATGCTCATGTGGACAATGTTGCCTTGGTTGAACTGGACTGGACATCAGACTTGGTTTCACTTACTAATTGGAAGTTTGGTCTTGCCTCTGGGCTTTTAATCCTAAACACCACTGTCCTTTCTGACTGCGTTTTCTTCCTTTTCTGAAATGCAGTTACTACCTCTCTTAAAAGCTCAGTATAATTCTTTTCTTTGTAATTCTTAACCTATTCTCTTTTTCTGTATTCATGTTCCTTTATTTTTGCATCTACCTGCCTTTCTTCCCTCTTTTAGCATTTTTTTGGAATAAGTTAATTCCCAGAATACTAGGAAATTTGCATAGGATGATTTGTTTTTCACAGGATATGTATTACTGTATATATATATTTAAACCTTTTCCCTTGAAGAATAATGACTTCAGTGTTTTTGTAAAAATGACACATGCTTCATCTTACCTCTATAAAATAACTGCTCTACTGTCCCACTTGTATCCATTTCTAGAATTTACTTATGTTTTATTAGTACTCCATTCATCTATGTTAAATGAATGATTTTTTTTTTTTTTTTTTTGTAATTCTGTCATCTCTTTTCTGCTTTGGGAATAAATAAGTTAAAAAAAATCTATGAACATAAACTAGTCTGTGGATTTCTGGAGTCTCCTAGATTAATGTCAGTGGATTTACTTTCTGATTCTAGCCATCAAGCTCCAACCTCATTTCTTTTTTTTC